ATCCTGACAAAAATCCCTACGTTTTGATGTATAATTTCAATTGAGTTAAAAATGAGGGACTGAGAAGAATTTGTTCGGAAAAAACAGAACAGCTCAAAAGCTAGAGCACGCACTCTAGCAGTTGAAGAATTCCGTCCATAGACTTCCATTATAAATCTGAAAATCTTAAAATTTTCTTTTAAAGTTTGAAGCTTCACTGAAGCAAAACTGTAAAAGTTAGCAGAAAGCCGAGTTAAACTGTAATAGCAGAAAGATACGGAAACATTTTAAAAGTTGAATGGTGTTTCTAGCTGAAAGTATGCTGAAGTAGTTAAAGGTCAAAGATGATGAAGGTTTAGCTGAATTATGCTGAAATCTAAGAATTCTACATGCATTTCAATGGGACAAAAAAAACGCAGAAAAAGCTGAATATCGCGAAAACTACAAAAAATATCTTTACCAAAAGACATAGCAGAATTCTCCTGAACAAGCTGAACGTTTTGATACCAAAATTGTTGAAATCAGTTGAAAACTGCGGGACTAGTTAGAGTCAGAAAAATTAAAAGTGAAAAACAATAAGTGGGAATGCATAAGCATTCCCACTTGAAAAAGGAAGAAAAAAAAAAGAAATTATACAGATGTCATTGAACACCTTAATCAGGCCGGTCTTAGTACTATGAAAAGCACAGAAACATTACATCAAAGTAGCTGGTCATTGTTAAGAAGTTATTTAACTCTAAAAACATTTTTTTTTCAATATTCTTACTGATGAAGGGGAGGTTTGAGATGGGCCTGTAGTTCTGCAGAACCAGTCTGTCCAACCTTCTGTTTTCCAACAATGGTTTGATAATTGCTAGTCTTTATGTCCTGGTGAAAAACACCCGACATGGGGAATGTGTTTATTATTTTTATCAAATCAGACTCTACTGTAAAACAGGTAAGACTTCTTCATAAAGCATATGAATAGAATATGAAACATAACTTAGTCCAACTGGTGACAGCCTTGGTACTGGGCTTGATGTTACTGTACAGACTGTGATTGTAATCCGTCCTATTTTCTCTCTAAAAAAAACTGCAAAATCATTGCAGGCCTAGTTAAATTGGATAATAAGTCAATAAATGGGTAATAAGGCACAAGCATTATTATAGGTTTTGTTGACAATCTCAGAGAAAAGAGATTTCCTTGAATCTTTTAGTTTGTAATTATATCTGTTGAGTCGCTCTGTAATTTTCATAATAAACCTGTATTCCATTTTTTTCACCAGCTTTGTTCTGCGTTTCAGTCTTGCCTCTTTTCACACTCTCTGCTGGAGCCAGCATCTCATTTACTGAGTCAAATGATAAGGTGGAAGTAGTGTACTGTCCATGATAACACTTTTTTGTTATAACATAATTTTGATTAATTAAATCAGTGGAAAGATGCATTCAATAGGTGTATTTCTCTAGTTTCTTTTCATCCATGTATTCAGATCAAACACTGCTGTAGATTTCATCTTCTGCTGAGAAAGTCAATGTAGAGTCATTAAAGAACATTTATATATTCAATATTATGATCATCCGACTTGTTTAGTTCTGTTTAAGTTTCACTTTGGGTTTTCAATTTATTTGTGATTTTATTTATTTTTTTAGTATTCCTTGTTATTTCCTACAGTTATCCCTTTGATTATTTTTGGTATTTATTTTTGGTCAAGTTTTTCATAGTTATTGTTTCTGTTATCTTTAGATTATGTTTCCCCATGCAGACATGGGCAATGTGGAGTCAACAAGTCATCTCCATGTCATGTATTTGTTCTACCCAGCCACTGAAGCAGGTGAGTCCAATCTTCACCGTGAATTAACCTGTGCAGATTGGACTCACCTGGTTAATTGGCTGGGTAGATTAAATACATGACATGGAGATGACTTGTTGACTCCACATTGCCCATGTCTGTCCCCATGTCACATTAGTTTTCTAGTTTATCAAGTTTGGTTTTCAATTGGTTATTGGTTTCTTTTCCATCTTGGTTCCCATCACTATTGTATTTCTTTTGGGGAGTGTTGGTCTAGTGGTTAGAGCAGTGGCATTGTGCTCTTTTTTTTTACATAGAAAATAGTTAAAAATAGTTTCTTTCACATTTTTATGGTAGCTTTTCACGGAGTTTGTTTTACTGGCTGTCTGCTTTTCTGAAATGTTAGTGCATTCCCAGCTCTTTAATTTCATTTCCATGACATCTGTCTTCTGGAGAAGCTTGTCAAAATCCTCTTAGGTAAAGGGTGGCATCTTGTACAGGTTTGCTGACGTGGAATGTTACTTCTCTTGGAAATGAAATAAAATGGGCTATTGTTGTGGATCGCAGAGCTATTGTTGCCAATGGCCTAACACTTGACTGCATACAGCTGAGAATCTTATTGTTAGAACAGGGCTGCAAGACTGCAACCCCGTTGGTTGCATGGAAGCTTATAATTGTGATGTTCCGACCAGAGCCAGTAGGGGGAAATGAAAGACCATTGAATTGTCCCATTTAGATTACCATCATTTAGATTTAGAAGAGGATAAATTAAGGTAATGAAGTAAATTATTGCTGCTTTATCTATCTATCTATCTATCTATCTATCTATATATATATATATATATATATATATATATATATATATATATATATATATATATATATATATATATATATAATACTATATATTGTATAGAATAATGCAAAAATGTTTAGAATAAAATTCTTGTGTCAGAAGAAACTACAGATATGTTTATCAGCTTCTAACTAAACTTTGTATGTTATAAATGTAGCCTGAGGTGGACGCGGGTTGTCAGTCCTCTTGTCTATATTTCCATCCAGCAGACCTACAGATGAAAGCAAATCTCTGAGATGTCTTTTATGTTTGATGCCTAAGAGCTTCTGTAACAGCACTCGTAATGAGAGCTCTTCTTGAACATGTTTGTGGTTATGTTTATTTTGTGCATGTGTGCATGGTGTCAACATCAGTGCTCACATCAGTGTTGCATTGATTAATGTTGATGTGGGTGTTTATTTCTGTTTGTGTTGTAAGGACATTTAAATAGCTTCAATAGATTTACCATTTAAATCTCTAATTCTACCTCTTTGACCTTTATGCTTGCCGTTTCTCATTTGGTCTTACAAACGTGTTCAAGGATAATGCTTTTACGTGTCGTATATCTGCCCAATTTGGTTGGTTCAACTGAGAAAGTAAAAAGGAACATTCCTGATTTGTTTTACAATTTGATCAGAGACCGTTACAAGGATAAAGCCATTGGCATGCGTTGCAAAGTGTGCCAGTGCATATCAGAAAAGGAGGGTCTGGCATTTATAAGCAGGATATGAAAGTGCTCGCCTTTTTATGGTCTTTGAAAGTGCATGTATGTGAGAAGAGATTAACATGATTTTCTACACATTATATAGAGACTATGTGCTGTAGTAGTGCCATCTTCTGGAGAAGAAGTGCAAATTGTGTTGTACCATACACTAAATAACAAGGTTAAAACAACACACATTTGCTTATGCAAGCAGCCAATAAAATTGGTAGGAATAGAAGGAATGTAATATTAAGATAATCTTAAAAATGCATCTTCTAGGATAAAAAAAAAGGAATGAGAAAAGCCATCTTTTAAAATACTTGGTAGACTGTGTTTATTTTTAGGAATAGTGGGTATATGTAGCCTTTACAGCAAATATACATCAAAGCAATACTGTACAACATGTAGAATGCGGCATTTTGCAGCATATTTCAGTGCCTACACACAGATATACAAAGAACACATATTATCATTCTTTGACAAAACATGATGTGGTTCTTATATATATATATATATATATATATATATATATATATATATATATATATATATATATATATATACTGTATAAACAGTTGTACTGTATAAACAGATGTACTTCAGTAGTACTCCTCATCCACACTACAATCCAGAGATAAAGATTAATCCAATTATAAATCATATTAAATAAATTGGATTGTACGTTTAAGAAAAACAATTTTTTGTTAATAACGTTTAAGGAGGTATGAAGCATGCTCTTAATCAAGCCCACATCTCTGTAGTAAATCTTTCTCTTTTGTAATCTAATACAGTGATGTTAAATGTCATGTCAATTTTTTACCAAATTGTTTCAGTAAAAAATTAACAGACGCAAAGGCTTGAAAACAGCATTCAGTGTTTCATTAATCGAGTCATGAAAAAGAAAATATTAAACCACCCTTGTTTTGTTTTTTTATTTCTTGCTCTAAGATATATAACCTATAATGAGCAAAAAAAGGGTAATTAATGATTTTCTCAGGATGCAGTCCATGTAAAACATAGATTTTCTCCATGAATGTATATCATGTTCAATTAAGAGACCGTTCACCTGTCTTGATGACATGTTCTTTTGCTCATTTACTAATGAAGAAATAGACAAACCGGCAACAACCATAAAGGATCAGACCTGAACTGTTAAAAATTATGCAGAATGAGCTTAAGCATACATATAAACGGTAATTTAAGTTAAAAGGCTGGGTACTTCTTTTATTCGTGCACAGAGCGCCACATATATACATTCCAAGGCGCTGTGATTACAATGCAGAATTGACAAGATTATTAGTCAGAAACACGACAGGAAGAATTTTCTGTAAAAAAGCACTTTCATTACTGTTCCTTATAACTGCTTGCTTCAAAATTAATGTTCTCATTTTGTAGATCTATAAGACCTAAATTACATTGAGAGTGTCACAAATGCACTTTTTTTAAAAACTATTTACATAAAGGACCTATTTACTTAAGCCCTTAGGAAGCATATGGAGTGTCCTTAAACATGCTCTACCACTGGATATTATTTTAATTGGCCCAGCATTTGGTCTTAAATTTATTCAAGTAATACCAGGATTGGAGAATTCACAAACACACTTCTACAGTGGACAAGTGGAAATTCAGTGAAAATCGACAGATCTCCTCCATCTTTGCTTTTTTTCAACACATCTTTGTATCAGTTAATGAAAATTTGACCAGGTACAAAGAATACTTTAAATAGACAGTTCTATTTATTAAGGAAATATTCATAAACGCTAGCATGGCCTGAAATAAATAGTGCCCTCACTCATTAGGTCAAAACATAGCATCATAGGTCACTCTACAACATAGATGCTGAGGGCACAAAACAATGGATGGCACTGTTTCAGAGCCTTCTGCTAAAATTGATTGTTTTTTATTATCTACAGAAATCTATTGTCCTGGTTTTGGTATGCAGTCCCAGGTAATATAAGTGTTTTTCAAAATGATTTTCTTTTTTTTTTAACCCTTACACATCAATGATGCTTTAGGTTTACCATTCTATAGTTGAGTCAAGTGTTGAGGCCTATATTAATTATGTGTTGTTCTAGGTTCTTTGGTAACCTGGTTATGCACTCATAGACATTTAGATCTTCTTGCCCCTGCAATTAAAAGTCAACCTTTAGAAATACCTTGGCAATTGTGAAAAAATTACCCTTACTGTGGTCTGCTGAGAACCCAAACTTTAAGAAAATAACTTTGTGGAACTTTAGAGCATTAACTGAGATATATCATGGTTTTATTGATTCCTCATCAGTTCCTGAATTACTTTAGGTCAGGGGATGTTGGGTTGTCTTTTATGATATCTCTGTATCTGTTTCTTGATTCTTCAGGTCTGCCAAAAAATCATACCTGGTGTGGCTAGTGCAATTTAACTTTTAGATGTGGGTAATCAAAGTTAATTCATACATTAACCAGAAAAACAGCCAGCAATAACCTTTCTACCAAGGCTCAGGTTTGTCAGAGTATGTTCTTTCTTTAATAAATGAATTATTTTAAAATAGTTCTTTTGTATTGATTTGATTATCTTTGTCAAGTTAATAGTTGTTCCAATAACTGAAACAGATTTAGGGTTCACATACTTTATCACACCTCTGTTTATGTTTCTGCTTCTACTCAGATTCATATTTAACACATTTTCCTCTTTGCAATGGACCATCAGCGACTTCCGCAGTACTATCAGTATGGTATTTGCTAAAGATTTTGAATTTGACATCATACTGTAAATGCTTCCTCAGACATTCATCTTCAGCTGCAGACCCAGCAGGTGTCCGAGTCACAGGAACCAGATGTCCCGAGTGCACGGCTGGAGGTAATGAAGCAATGTTCCCTGGTAGTTTGTTTTATTCTAGTTTCTAAGCGATCTCAGGGTTCGGGTAATATCGGAAGACTTTGTAAATCCACTGAGTGTAAAAGGGCACATTTACAAATATGCCAGGCTGGTTAGCTCGAGCACAGCCTCTGCCATGGACACTAATGCCAACAATAACTCTGAGATCTCCATCCTGACACACAAGCGGGCCTCCATAATCCCTCTGTAAAAGAAAGATAGAAGGCCTATTATTCTCAAGATTAAAGGTCTGAAATTACTCTTTAGACTTCCTATAAAGGCAAATAAAGAAAATTAAAAATAACAGTCTACAGTAAGTGAAAGACAGCAATATAGTGTTCAAATTTTTTACAAAGTCAGAAACATCAGATGGCTCTGGATAGCTGATGAAATTTGGAGCAACAGTCTCAAACTGCTCTGTTTACAGCAGACTGAAATCTAAGCTTGTGGATTCTAAAACATTTGTTTAAGATTTAGATCAAACTGTCTTGGAAAGTGATTTGTTAGATTGAGATGCTAGATCCTTGTAAATAAATACTAAATACACTAGAAGCAATTATTTTATTTCCACATCTTAACGCCTACTCACGTTTACCAACTTTGCTGCTGTGAATCCTTTCCAACCTCATATCTAAATGGTTTAACAGCTCACTGATAATTACTGAAATAAAAATTATTTGACTTACCTCACATACTCCTTCATTCCTTTTTCCTCCTGCACAGATCTTGGTGTCGGTGATATGGAAGTTTCCTCTATGCATTTCTCTGCACCTATTATTTCCAACAATGGGCAATTCGACTGCCTTTAGGATATCTTCATGGCCAGTACCTGAAATTAAAGACATAGGTTCAATATTATACTAACAATGATAAGAGAAAATGAATTTGTCTAATTGATTGTTTTATGGTTTTTGTGTATCATTTTAACTATTTAATGTTTGTATTTGCTGAATTTAGGCTTTGCCTTTTCAAATGCATAGATAAAGGGTGAGGTAAGGCAGGATCCTGCCTTACATCAGACAGATCTGTTACATACAGTCTGATGCAAGCTCCATGCTGTTACTCTTTATCAACAAAATACATGTTTGGAGGTGCGTTACATGCTGACATTCCAAAGTATGTCTAATAAACAGTGGCAGCATATGCTTTCCAACTGCCAATAAATATGTGCAGAAGGTGAGGCAAAAAGCCTGTAAGGTTTCAATATGTTCCAGAAAAATTGAAGATTATGTCTAAAACTGTAGCACCGCTGCCTTGTAGCAAGAAGGCCCTGGGTTCATTTTCTGTCATATGATCTCCTTGCATGGAGTTTGAAGCTCTCCCTGTGCTCTGTTCAGGTATTCCAGCCTTCTCCAACAGCTAAAAATAATCACTACTAGTGAGGTAAATTGGGCTCTTTAACGTTGCTTTAAGTGTGACTGTGTGCGTGGATGGTTATATGTTCAGCCCTGTGATAAGCTTTCATGCTGTCCAAGGTGTACCCTGCCTTTTGACCAGAGACTAATAGCCACAGATGGGCACCAGCTCCACATTAACCTAACAGATGAGCTACAGAAGATGGATGGCTGTCCTAATACTGTGATTTTTACAAACGTTTTGAGTAGTTCTGCTAGACAGGCAACTTTTCTATGTTGTTCACAATCAGTTCATAGCTGTTTGTTAATTTCTGGTTTAGTAAAATTTAATCTGCAACTATTAAATATAGATTTTATTTAATCCTGTGTATGAACAGTAACAGCTACTTTAAGATTTAAGCTCAAAATGTCATAATAGTTATTGTATGATGCTATCCACTCTAACATGACCCTTCAAAATACTTAACAGCATAAATCAGGTGCTTTTTCCACATAATTTATAGTCCTAATTTTGTGTAGACACCTGTATATGCTACATATTTTGCAGCAAACACAAGATACATGTTATACATGCATACAAGCTGTACTGATGTGAATTATTAATACCTTTTGTCTCTCCCCATCCATACATTTTACACATCGTTCCTTCAGGGATAGAGCATCCAGCCAAAGGCAGCTGTATTGTGTGGACATTGTCAGCAGGACGGGCAGGTCTGGACATAAATAATGCATGCATGGAATGTAAAATCATTAGTATACAGTAAACAGAAATCTCCATCTTAATATAAATGAAAATGTGTTCTTTTCTCAAGCACCAACTTTGAGAGCCTCAGGAGGGCTAAGCTCGATCCGCTGGGACCACATATCACTTGAGCTATTCTGACTTCTTGTCTTTTAGATCTGTCAGGGGATCCTTCTCGAAGATCAGACAGTCCCAACCACACCCTGTACTCACTGAGATCTGGAACGCTGGAGGAACAAGAAAATCAAGCATATGTCGAATTAAAAACAAAAAGTTTATTTTTGAATCAGCAGGGACCGAAGGTGAAAGTAAGCAACTGAAATACCAGGAAGAGAAGCATTGTCTGTCAGTAAGAACCCACTCGTCTCGTATAAGTGAACCACCACACCAGTGCACAGATCTGGGAATGATACAAAAGCCAGATGCTAAATAATGAATAAAACACAGATATTTGCAACCTTTTAGATTTATAGTCGTGCAAAAAAATATTAGACAAAGAGTGAGGCTGAATGTAAGGGAGGTTAAATTATTTTCTTCTACTTTTAATTGTGCAAGGTATAATTAAATGCAACTGAACACAGAACAGCATGAAAACTCTGGACTAACAATGATTTTTTTCTTCTTCCTGACTGTTAGAAAAAAACAAAATAAAAAAACTGAAATGCTTTACCCTTTCTGAATGCTAACCATCCAGCTGCCGTCTGATATTCCAACCGGAGCCCCACCCACAATCCTGGGTCTTTTATGGACAAAACACCTCACAGGGGTTGGCTCAACCACAAATACTGAAACACACATATACATACAAACATGCTTTCAAATAATGTCTCTTTTTTTAGTAAATATAGAACAAAATAAATTGAATTTTTTTAAGTGTGACTTCAAAACAAGAACCTGTTTTGTTTTTTGTTTTTGTTTGTTTTTTACTGCCGTTACCTACATTTTCACTACCACCTTTAGTTGGAAAGTTAAAAGTTAGCCTACTGTATCATCTACTGTATCATCTAAAAAAAAAAATGATCAGACAGTTGCATTCTGCAGTTGATCCAAAGAGATGCTGCCTGCATTCTAAAAAAGAAAGTTGAGCAGATTCATTCAGTTATTAATTAGTTATACAGGCTCAAAGTGCCTCAAAAAACATACTTTAAAATAATCTGTTAATCTATAAATCTGTGCCATTCAGACTAAAAAACAAACGCCATTGCATGAAAAAATTTTTCAAAATGAATGTCTAGAAACCAGAAACTAACATGAAGAAGCACTTTTTGGTTCCCTAATCTGGAATAAACTCCCAGAAAACTGTAAAAACACATAATCCCTAAGTTGTTTTTAATTGAAATTAAAAATGCTTTTGTTTTGTCTGGCCTTTGACACTGCTATCTCAGCATAATTCTGGTTTTTATTATCATTGCTACCTTTTTTTTTTCCCCATTGCAATTTACTAGTTTTTTTCCTTTTCTTTCTCATGTAGATAGAAGCAAACGCATCCCAATTTTCTTTAAAAAAAAATTTATCTATTTATTATTATTTTTATTTTTTTTTCAAAATATAGCTGCATGTTTTGACTTGCATATAGATTAAAAATAAATAAACCAAAATGCATTTTCGTTTTGTTTTTCAAGACTGCTAAATCTGTTACTTAATCTTAATGATAACAAAAAACTATAGTGTTACATTTACTTTTCAAATGATTTCCCAAAAGATTTAAAAATTACCAAATGGAGAATTAAAATATATTGATAAAAATATTTTTTAATTTTAATGACAGACCTAGATGTTTTAATCATAAATAAATTCCTAATATATAGTCCTAACTATCTATCAGTCAACTATTACATTTGGTTACTTTTTGCAGAGACATCTAAACATTACCTTTTTTACCATCATCAAGAAACAGAATGAGCAGTGTTTGGATTAATATTCACTCAATTCATTTAATTTCGAAGTGACACACTTAACAATGGCTAAGATGCTGATAAGTCACTTACCTGCTGGAATGGTGTTCTGTAAGACATTGCCTATAGAAGAGAAAGAGAAAAACTAATTTGATTAGCGACAGTAACAGGTAAAATGAGACGATGCAAATTTTTACTTAATTGACAACAATAAAAGAAGGATATAGACAATATAGACATACACAGCTTCAAATTATACTTTTATTTCAAATGAATTAACATTTTTGAATACAGGAGCTATTTTAAAGTAGACTATTCAGCCTAGCTATTTTATTAAAAAGCATTATCTATTTAAGTTGAGTTATTATCTCCAATAAATAAAATACTAAATCTTTTAGGGCTGCAACTAATGATTATTTTGCAAATAATCTGTTGATTATTTCTTTTCGATTATTATTCAGATAGCTAAAGGTTCTTTAAAGAACATTTCTTACCAAATTAAACCAGGTGAAACTAAAATGTTTCCACTTAAGTTCTGAATAAAGCATATTGACAAACCAAAACATTTTTTTACATTTTTTTAATCTCTGCTGTGTCAGCAAAAGGCATGTTTTACAGTCTCTATACTCCATTTAACAATTAATTTTTTAAGCCCTTGAATCTTTAAAACTGAAACTAGGCAAATTAAATTATCTGTATTTATCTTTTGTAAAAAAAAAAATAAAAAAATACAGTATTTATTTTTTTATAGAAAATAGATAACCAACAAAAATAATCAAACTCCTCCCAGCAGTTATAGAGGCCCTGCTTTCAGTCAGAAACAACCTGAGGATTGTCTCAGTGTTGTATGTTATTCAGTCTTAAGACTGCCTGAGTCGTACTTGTGGAGGAGAAACTACAAAACATTTCAGGAAAACGTTATCAAGTGGCATCTGCTTTGAATAAGCAAAGCGGCAAATAGGTACTAGCTTCTGTATTTAGGGAACATTCTGGTTTGGGGGGAATTTTGAATTATGTTATTGTGAGAGAAGTGCTACAGGGCAGCAGAGAACATAGGGGGATCCTTTAGGGTGTGTTTGTTCTAATTACCAGGCTAAGTTCAGGATCAGAACTCCCTAAGCAGCCTTAACTATACCCCTACTGTAGATTGCATGCCAACTATCTGATGTCAAATTCAACATAGCACTCTTATGAGAAAGGAGCTGTCTGAAAATTTAGGGTTTGAGATCAATTCCAGCCAATGTCAAAAGCTGAGCGCATTTGCTACATAAACCTTATATTTGTCTTACCGAGAAATGGGTCAAAATGACTAGCAGAATAAATATATTTGCATTGGCAAGTGGGAGAAATGTGCTTTGTAAATGCTGTGTATTTGTTATAACTTTTATTACAGCATACAGATAAAATATGCGTAAATATTTCAAAGGCTTTGCCAACACAAATTAATCTAGGAGCTTTATTCGACCAAAGCATTGTGTATTGGTATGATACTTAAAAAGGTAACTGGAAATGTCTAAAAGATCAGCTATTGTTAGAAATTTTAATTTCCTCCACCCTGCACCACTCAGTGAGTGTTGTCAAGCCTTCACACTCTAAATATTCTGTTTTCGTGTGAATGTGTGTGAGGTGTAAAGAAAAAAAAAGGAAAGATATACACTATATTGCCAAAAGTATTTGCTCACCTGCCTTGACTCACATATGAGCTTAAGTGACATCCCGTTCCTAATCCATAGGGTTCAATATGACGTCGGTCCACCCTTTGCAGCTAGAACAGCTTCAACTCTTCTGGGAAGGCTGTCCACAAGGTTTAGGAGTGTGTTTATGGGAATTTTTGACCATTCTTCCAGAAGCGCATTTGTGGGGTCGCACACTGATGTTGGACGAGAAGGCCTGGCTCTCAGTCTCCGCTCTAATTCATCCCAAAGGTGTTCTATCGGGTTGAGGTCAGGACTCTGTGCAGGCCAGTCAAGTTCATCCACACCAGACTCTGTCATCCATGTCTTTATGGACCTTGCTTTGTGCACTGGTGCACAGTCATGTTGGAAGAGGAAGGGGCCAGCTCCAAACTGTTCCCACAAAGTTGGGAGCATGGAATTGTCCAAAATGTCTTGGTATGCTGAAGCATTCAGAGTTCCTTTCACTGGAACTAAGGGGCCAAGCCCAGCTCCTGAAAAACAACCCCACACCATAATCCCCCCTCCACCAAACTTTACACTTGGCACAATGCAGTCAGACAAGTACCGTTCTCCTGGCAACCGCCAAACCCAGACCCGTCCATCAGATTGCCAGATGGAGAAGCGCGATTCGTCACTCCAGAGAACGCGTCTCCACTGCTCTAGAGTCCAGTGGCGGCGTGCTTTACACCACCGCATCCGACGCTTTGCATTGCACTTGGTGATGTATGGCTTGGATGCAGCTGCTCGACCATGGAAACCCATTCCATGAAGCTCTCTGCGCACTGTTCTTGAGCTAATCTGAAGGCCACATGAAGTTTGGAGGTCTGTAGTGATTGACTCTGCAGAAAGTTGGCGACCTCTTCGCACTATGCGCGTCAGCATCCGCTGACCCCGCTCCGTCAGTTTACGTGGCCTACCACTTCGTGGCTGAGTTGCTGTCGTTCCCAAACACTTCCATTTTCTTATAATACAGCTGACAGTTGACTGTGGAATATTTAGGAGCGAGGAAATTTCACGACTGGATTTGTTGCACAGGTGGCATCCTATCACAGTTCCACGCTGGAATTCACTGAGCTCCTGAGAGCGACCCATTCTTTCACAAATGTCTGTAAAAACAGTCTGCATGCCTAGGTGCTTGAATTTATACACCTGTGGCCATGGAAGTGATTGGAACACCTGATTCCAATAATTTGGATGGGTGAGCAAATACTTTTGGCAATATAGTGTATTTTGTTATTTAGAAGAGGTCAAACCTTCAGTTTGCATCAATTTGAAGTTTTATCACCATGAGTCAGTATAAACGCCATACAGTAGTTAATCTTTTGATGGTTACTTACAAGGTTTTACGTTGCAGTAGTCCCATCTAATGGCAGAATTGTTGGTGAAACACCAAGGACCATGTTTATCCTTATCAGGATTTCTGCAGTAGCTCCCTTCCAGACCAGACAACAGCATGCCTCGCTCTCCACTGCACAAAGAGAAAGGCAGAAACAAACTTGGTCCAAGTGTCAAAAATAATGTTTATAACAAGTTATGACTTGGTTTTAAAGCTGAAGGTCAAAAAAAGAGTAAATAAAAGAACTATAAAAATATGAAAGAGCAATTGTCTTCTAGAAACAAAAAGTTAAATATCACTCCGAGATAATAAGAACAATCTTTGGATCCATGTTGTCAGATGGGTTTCTTTTGCTTCATGCTAACCACTTGTTAAATAAAAAAAACTCTTTCTCAAACCAAATTTAACAACTATATCAACATAACAAACAGAAAAGTGGAAGTTAAACAAAACAAGTCAGAGTCCCTAACATGTGTTTATATAATTTCGAGTTCCCATCCTTGACTTGTGACCCATAGCAGGCAACCAACAGTAGATATAAGTAGCTTTGAAGTTACTACAAAGGGCTGTTTGGGGTCAGAGGTCAGAAATGAAGTACATATCCCTGGGAGTCATTTCCTGCTGGATTAGGTCATCTTTGGGGTAAAACAAGGTTGCCTGTGTAGAAATGGTAGAGAAGCTAGTCACGGAAGCAGTTTTCTGCTCCTTAACTGAAGAATCTCACCATGGTGAGCTGACAACAAAATTACATGTTTAAAGGTCAAGGTAAGTTTCCTCTGCACACCAACATGTTAAAGGTTTGCAAAGGTGTTCTTGGAAACATTAGGATTTTTTTTGTACAGCAGGAATTTCATTTTCTACAAATTCTACTATTCAAAATATTGCCTTCTGCTTATTATTGTAGGATTGATTTTTTTATCACTACGCTGTTAAAAGTTCTATACATTTTCAGAGTATTAAGCACTGTTTTTGTTGCATTTCTGTGAATTATTAAAGTAATGTATTTTATATTATAAATTAGGAAACATTATTAGGCAGAGAAGGAGCTTCAATTTGGTGTACCAACCTGTTGCTGTGATCTCTCCAGGGAGCACAGGGCAGGTTTGATCTAGTCCTTGACTGCTCTCCTTGGTAATTTTCTCCAAAGCCCATGAAGCAGTCTGGGTTTTCATATAAAAGTGAAGAAAAAAATAAGACAGATGTTTCATATATTTATTTTATACAATAAAAAAAAAAAAAAAATCAAAATGAGGCTTAAAGGAATAGTACACCCAAAACATGATTAGCCTTCATTTTCTACTCACCCCCATGCTGAACAACACCCTGGAGTACTTTTTTGATATCTCAAATGCATCTGGAGATCTGGGAGGCTTCTTGCTGTCTGCTGACATTCAAATAATGGAGGTCTATGGTGACCGAGACAGAAAGGTCCATAAAAGTCCACAAAAACGTGTCAATATTCCTCCATACTGCTCGTCCAATGTATTCCAAGTGTCCTGAGTGGGTAGCATCCAGAATTTACTCGAAACGAAGTCATTTAGAATGTTTTTAGAGCATAAACAGTAGTGTATAGGATTTCCTGAAAGCGCGCACATGCGCGCTCACGAAGCTACGGAAGCCGGCAGACCAAGCCAGATGAAAGTGCGCATTCAGCGTCTGCTCTGCCAATAATGCAAGCGTAGAAGAAGAAATGTGCTGTTTACCTGTGCAAAGAAAGAAACAACGAAAGAAAAATGTCTGAAGACTTCAGTGTTGAGGAAGAGCACGAGTTCTTTGCCGAGCTGAATGCGCTGGTTTGGTCTGCCGGCTTCCGTAGCGTCGTGAGCGCGCGTGTGCGCGCTTTCAGGAAATCCTATACACTACTGTTTATGCTCTAAAAACATTCTAAATGACTTTGTTTCGAGTAAATTCTGGATGCTACCCACTCAGGACACTTGGAATACATTGGACGAGCAGTATGGAGGAATATTGACACGTTTTTTGTGGACTTTTATGGACCTTTCTGTCTCGGTCACCATAGACCTCCAAATATTTGAATGTCAGCAGACAGCAAGAAGCCTCCCAGATCTCCAGATGCATTTGAGATATCAAAAAAGTACTCCAGAGTGTTGTTCAGCATGGGGGTGAGTAGAAAATGAAGGCTAATCATGTTTTGGGTGTACTATTCCTTTAAGACCAACACAAAGTTGTGCATCACTGTGAAGACATGAATACATCATCATCTAACATTTACAAACATAAATCTGAAAAAAGGATTTCATGCATATATCTTAATGTAGCCTCAATTTTTATAAGAGGTTCAGTAAAATTTTTGCTGGCCTGCAGCTAAAACTGGATATGCCAAGGTAAACCAATACTAAATACCCACTGGGCCACATATACTATACACACACAAACACACACACACACACATATATATATATATATATATATATATATATATATATATATATATATATATATATATATATATATATATATATATATATATATATATATATATATGCCATATATCATTCCTTATTACTGTAAATAATAAAGTTATTGCTTTATGATGGTTAGCGTACAAATGCATGCCATTTTTTCAAAGGAAGCGAATTTTGAAAACTCTACCTTTTTTCTTAAATCCTTATAATCATATGCTGGTCTATTTTTTTTTTTACAAAAGTCCCACTATATACAGAGTACTGAGGTTATACTGTAACAAACTGTGAAAAACCTTAATGGGTGTGAATACTTTAAGGAGGCACTTTGTTTTTTGTTTTATCTTCTTTTCATAACAAATGTAATCCCACAAAAAAAATTAAGGGCCATTAAACATTTGTTTAAAAAAAGCTGTTATTCAGCTATCATGGCTTGATCTAGAATAAACAGAGATAGGAACAGAAAAAATATATTGACTATGACTCCTTACAGGAACATTGGATATAAATAAGTTATTAGGCTGTCTGTCATCCTACATTTCATTTCTATATGGGAATCCATTCAATCCCTGAGGGTAGACCACAAAATAACCTTAGAGTCAATTTTTATGCAAGGCCACAAAAACTAAAATCCCTTGAGAGATTTAAATGCGAATAATCCGCCATAGATCTTCATCTTTCCCTTACAGAATCTTTGTGGTACCCCAGGAAGAATCTGAACCAAGACTAATCCCTCAACTCCATCTTTCCCTGTCAAATGAGACCAGGCCATCCCTGACTGCTGTCAGATTTTATTTATGTGAGATGTGGTCATCAGTCCTTCCCACAGTCCTTTAAGATCACAATTTTCCACAGGGATGCCAAGGATGTGTCATACAGGCTCTTATATGAATTTTGCAGTCTACAAAATATAAAAAAAAAACACACATGGTATATTCTTCTGTTTAAGGTTGAAAAATAGGCTTTTCCCTTGTTACTTTCAGCATCGAAGGAAGGGGTTGTGTCTCTCACCACTGACAAGAGTGTTCTGGGTGCCACACTGAGGGATTTGGGAGCAGAACATTCTGCGTACTCTTGGGTCTGTAGTGAAGCACCAGGGGGATTCTTGACCATCTGGATTCCGACAGTAGTTCTCTCTCAAGTCCCTGGAAAATAGTGAGGAAAATAAAAATATTGTGTTTTTTACTTTTTTTTAAGTAATTGCACACTGAGAGGTTATGGAGTGGAAAGCATTCACATGCAGTATTACTCTCACTTGCAAGGGTAGACTTCAGGTAAGAATGTGTGATTATGGGGATACTGAGAATCCCAGCGTTGGCAGGCGAGTCCACTGGGTGTCGTGTCTGCTGTGCCTCTGTAACCCTCTCCTCTGCCCTCGTAACACTCGGTTGTCTCTAACGCAGGACTTTTATGTGGTGTTTCTGTGGAGGAGTGTAGAATTGTGACACAATGATCTCAATGATTTGCTGTAATACATGAAAAACAAAAAAATATTAAAAGGTGCATATTATTTAGGCTGACTTTCCAAAATGACATAATCCACTACTGAGCCAAAATTGACTTTTTTTTTCAGTACTGCATTCAGAGTGCCTTACCTTGACTCCATTTAAACAATATAATGCAATAGTAACATTTAAAAAATGCATACTTCACAGCATAAGTAGCATTAGCTCTTTTTCTCGGGTCACCTATGTCCGCTTCCTTTTTTAGTCTTTCTAAAATCTAACAACTTCATTTCAGACAATGCAGTAAAAATACTATTTAACATTTTAAAACATGTAACCTAAAAAAAAATGAAAACCTAAAAAAAAGCAAAAAAAGAAAATAGCCAAAAATGTACACCTAAACTGCATTATGCTTGAATTACTTGTGTTGGATACTGTATGTTATGTATTATTGTCAGACATTTTTGTTACAGATTTCTTGTATTTGTTGCTTTTAATAAATGTTGAATAAAAGTTGGTTTTATTTTAATATTTTAAATGGTCAAAATTGTTCAAGAAATAGATTCTATCTTGAGGGTAAAAGTAAAGAGCTGTGTGAAGCTGGCACCCCACCCACGAGTAAAATCTGCACATTTTAATTTTGGCAGATGACGTCACCATCACCGCAATAAAGTCAGAATTAAACTAAAGCCATCTTTTTTTTGGTGGTTTGTTGGTGCAGTTTTAACTTTTGTTTGTACTGATTTTTGTTTACAGATATAATCCATTTCAGCTGACGGCGTCACTATCTGACCAGAGTGAAGCGATACAAACCAAAGGACTACTATTTTTAGTACTTCCTTTGTGCTTTTATTGCTTACTAGCTGACATTTTAAATGATTATTCTTTAAAACAAATCCAGCACAAATTATAGTTTTAACTGCAAAAATCTGCACTAATGTAGTAGTAAAAACTAGACATCTTTGGTTCAATTCAGATCTTAATGGGGTGCATGGTTAACTCTGGATGATCTACAAAACTCATCTTCAGTATGTCTAAAATGAGAAACAATGATTTCAATTGCACAAACCTGCACTATTAAAGTCCAAATCATTTGTTGATTTTTTTTTCACGTGGGTCGGGTGTCTGCTTCAAAAAATGTAAAACAAAAGTTTGAATTAGCATAATGTAAATTTTTTTCTTATGCTAAATGGCAGCCTCATTTTGTGGTAGTAAAAGGAAGCCAGATCATATTGAAATAAATGCAGGGTAAAAGTGGTCAGCCTGACTGTATCTTTCTGTGGTTCGCCAGTAGATGCCTACTTACTCTAAATTCTAAGGATCACGATGTTGACAGCTAACATGCAAACCACAGCTTTCAACTGATATTCCACAAACCAGCTAGTGGCAGCAAATGTTTGGGTCTGTATTGACATCACATCCCCAAAATCAGCCTTTATTTACATTTGCTGGCCATGCATGCCTGTCCTAAAGCACTATCTTTCAATAATCTTTGAAACACATGGAAAAGATTAAAATGAAATCCAAAATGAGACAAATGTGCGATTCATTGTAGCGCATCTCTTTTTTAATTTTAAAATGACTGTACATAATGACTCAAAGGTTGGTTTAAATGTACCTGATGGCAGAGGGTGACTGATGACAACTGATTTTAACACCGTATAAACAAGAGGTGAACATAAATAACAAAGCAGAACAGATTCAAAATAAGTCCAATGATCTGCACCAAAAGCTTTTTTTAAGGACTTAGTTTTACTCTATTTCAACAGGATTTTCCTTATTTCTATTTATACACCAATGTTTCACAATGTGTCCACTGTTGCTCATTAACAAAGTACATCAAGGTGATCAGAGTTACAATTTCAAAATCACCAGAAATTTCAATCATATCATTTCTGAAGTGTCAGGCTTCCTACCCAAAACAGAAAATTGTACTACTAACCAGTTAGCAGGTAGCTTGTTTAGCTCAGTGTTACTTAACAAAGAGAATGATGGAAATGGTATAATTTTGCACATTAAGAATGCTTACCTGAGAATTATTACTACATGTGATCAGTGTTTGAGCAAAACCAAAAACTACTAAAACAGTCATAGATAACAGTTTTTAAAGGTGTAAGAGTCTGTTACTATTACTGCAGTAGGAATAACTTACTTTTTATTTTGCATAAAATAGAAAAGAAAAACCCCTGTCACAACACACCCTGACCAAGACCAAGGTCCTCAGACCAAACTCAAAACAAAATGTAGATACCTCCATTCAACCTCTCTCCCCCCAGACCTCAACCCAGACAGACCCCCGCATTAAACCCCCTCACCTCTGACCCTGACCTGGAACTCCACCCTCTCTCCATGGAGCCTGGTTTTAACTTGATTTTGATGACAATATATAACACATTTTTAAGATTGGAACCCAAACAATATTGATATCCTCCCCATACAGACCAATATAGACCAAGCCCTGTGGCTGGAATTTGTGAATCTGAAATTCATATAGCACTAAATTGTAATGTTTTAATTAAAAAAAATCATATAAAAGAAGAATATATATATAATATAATAATAAGACTTGACCTTTGCTGTGTTTACTAGAATGTAATTGACTTGATGAAAATAGGGTTCTGAAAACAAATGCATTTTTACATTAAGCTATAGCAAAATCTTTTATTTAGGGTTCATATATTTGTGCTTCCAGCTCCAGAGGATTCAGTGCCTCACTAGTTATGAACCTCACTGCACTTAATTGTTTGGGAAAATGTTTCTTTGGATGCTTAATTCTGCAAAATAGCTCCCTCTACAGGCCTTTTGCTAGAGCATAATTAGAAAAACTAATTAGAAATCAGATATTTTTATCTGTTCACAGAAAGAGTGCAGACAAATAACAAGTCCATTGGCCTGAACACTGTCCATGAGTACATGAAAAACATGTTATAGACTCTAAATCATAAAAAAAATGTTTCCTGTTCTGGTGTGTATCTATTTTTAGATAGATACACTGGCAGTAAACAAAAGAAGGGGCCTTGTCAGTGGACCAATTCTCTGCTTCTGTGTCTATTGCTTTGTCCACACAGCCTTGTTTTGATTAAGATTAACTGGGTCATAAACTTGGGCTGTTTCCAAAAAACTTAGCATCAAAGAACAACCTAGACATAGAGTTTGAGGGTTGAAATATAGTCTTTAAAAGGGATAAAACAAGGGAAACAGTGAATCACTGGATATAAATGGATCATTTCTATCAAGCAAACATGACGACAGGACTGCATACAGTGATTGCAAGCCAGCCAGCCATACGATCAAAACGTAAGGTTAGTTTGACAGAATACTATACAGGAGTTTGTATACAGTATACCCTATCCGTGATGCAACTCAATGAATCAACCAAAAGCTAGTGTATTGGTATTTAATGTGAAAGACCAAAAGGGGCTTTTCACAGACAAGAACATTGCCTTTGGTTCAGTCATAGTTAATAACTTGTATAACCTATCTTGCTTTGCAAATTTAAAGACTGAAAATTCTGTCAAAATAAGATCAGTGAGATGGGATGGAGAGCATTACATATTGGATTTACAGTAGATATGTACTTGGACTAGGCCCTTTTGGCATTATGCATTTAGGCAAAAGACTCCATGTTATTGGGATCTGACTAGTAATACTTCTTTCAAAGCATTGCTCATGGGTATGAATATGCAGCTTCTCCAGAGTTGGCAGCGGGCATTTGGTTGTTTCACGGATTCTTACTTACAATATTCTTTCGAACTGTACTGGGTCGAACTGTACTGAGATGTTTAACTTGGAATTCATTTCAATTCCATTTTTTTCCCCATTAACATTATACTGTCACAAGTACAGAGCAACAAAATTCACTCTTTGCATCTAACCCATCCCCTTGGGGAGCAGTGGGCTGCCATTGTGCGGCGCCTCGGGAGCAGTGTGGGGTTAAGGGTCTTTGCTCAGGGACCCAGAGGAGTCCGTGGGTGTGGAGCTTGAACTCAGAACCTCTGGATTCCATACGCAATGCCCTGACCAATTCAGTTTATTTATATAGCGCCAATTCACAACACTGGCCATCTCAAGACACTTTATGTAGAATTTTACCAAAGAATATGGTTTGATAACTTACCAGCGCTTTAAGTTTTCTTTTACATCTTTTTTTCTGACCTGTCTGGTGTGTTCTTTGGTCGTCACAATACTGTTTCCACTAATAATAACTAACTCTTACAATACCCAAAGCCCTAACGAAACACATGCATTAACATATGCATTAAACATAAGTGAATTATTACTAATATTATTATTACTAATTAGTAAACTTCTGAGGACAGTAGAGAAAATAAGAAACAGTAGAGAAAATAAGAAAAATCTTTTCAAAGTCAATTAAAAGTAAAGTTTCCATTTTATTTTCTTAAGGACTGGAGTGGCTGTTTCTATGACAGAGTATTAGGGTCAGACTTGCAAGATTAAAGTCATGATATTATGAGAATAAAGTAATAATATTACAATTTTAGCAATTTAAATTCATAATATCATGAGATAAAACTTTTAATATTCCGTGGTTGGTTGTAATATTATGAGATTAAAGTCAATATTATGTAATGAGATCTCTTGCACTGTCTTTCCCATAATTGAAATGAGAACCGTTGAGAATCTTGGGACGTTATACTTTTTTATTGGCTTTACAATAAGAAAAAATTAATTATTTTAGCCCATCAGCATCAAATTATTATTATCTATCAATCATTCTTTATTTATTTTAGATAAACATAAATAAAGTTGTAATAGTACAACATTTTTCTGGTAATATTAAGAGAATAACTTAATGTATCTACAAATTTATACACATTATATTTTTTTTCTCCTAGTCTGATCTTAATCCTCTGTCGTAAGGTTCTGATTGTGTAACCAACAACAAATAAAGTCATCTCTGGATAAATGTGAAGGTAAACAGACACCTCAACGCCATCTTTAACTATTGTTCTTATACATTAATTGGACCTTGATTATTAGGTGTGATAAAATATGTCTGCATCCAAGTATGAGTTTGTGTTTTGTCTATATGAATTACAGAAGGTTAATGTGGAGCAGTAACTGAGCTTTGTGCAGTCTGAGTGCAACACCTAAAATCTGGCATGGAACAACAAACAACTGGCCTGTGATGCTGTGAAAAATTTGGCTATTTGAAGAAGAGAGAAAGGCTAAAAGGGGTTGCGGGCTTGCTGTATAGGTATGCATGTGTATGTGTGTTTCCCAACATCAAGGAAGAGTAATGACAATATGGGGAAAAATAAATGATACAGAAAGTTGTAAATTCTTGGATATTCTGTCAGGCATGACTGACAGTAATAGGTCTCTATTCTACACAAACAGACCTGGTTTATGTCAAACGCAAATACTCTGTTGGCAAGGTCAGTCAATTCAAACACACACAAACACATATGCACTCTTGCTTACCACAGACTTTGATGTTGCAGTATTCCCATGGCGTGTTTGGGTCTGTGGTAAAGCACCAGGGTCTGTGACGTCCATCAGGGTTCCTACAGTAGTTATCATGTAAGCCTTTGTCAGGGAACCTAACACAAAAATGAAACATTTCAGCATGTAGACTGTTAACATCTTGTGATAATCTCTTAAGTGCTCAGTGAAATCATTTGAGAGAAAATACAGAATTGCATATAGCTGAAAAAGATGAAAAATAGTTAGCAGACACCATCTGTTTATCTGTTTAGAGCTCAAGGAGATGAGGAGGATAAGTTGTATCAGTCCAGATGTTTAATAGTCAGTCCTCCCAAAGTCCCCCATCCCTTCAGGTCTGTTGCCTCAGGCATGCAGCATTAGGCAGCTGGTCCTCTCATTCCATTAACAGCTTTTGCAGCATGGGACCAGGTGTGTACAAATAGTGTGATGATTAAGGACGTGTTAACGAGTCTCGGCTAATCCAGACCACCTGCCACCCAACTAGCTGGAACAGCGTTGACACAGTCATACAAAAACTGCCATACACATATGTCAACACAAGACGGGGAGATGTAAAGAGTTCCTGAGCAAATTGAATTATATAGCTTTCCTAATGCAGAAATGAGGGGACTTCCCAGCATACCACAGTTAAAAAACGCAAATTACACTAGATTCTCATCACTTCCCTTAAGGAAAATGTTTTCATTGGCTAACTAAAAACACTTAATCTCCTGGGTGAACCACAGCTTCATAAATCTATTAGAGGGATATACTGTATACAAAAAAACTCCCATATACTTGCACTTATAATAAAGCAAGCAGTTTGTGAGATGTATGAGTTTTTTATGTTTGGAAGTTTAACCTTTTGGGGTGGTACGTATGCTTGTGTGGTTCATTCAGGTCCCAACGTTGACATTCTTTTCCACTTTCTGTATAGTCCATCGGTCCTCTGTAATCTTCCCCATTACAGGTAATACATTCAACTGCATAACAAGAAAAGACAAATTTAACATAGACTGAGACAAATATCTAGTAACATTAGAAAAATTGACATTTAATACATTAAAGCTTCTAGAAGTAGTCCAAAAATTACTTGTTCAAATTTTTGCAACTCAGTTTGCTTCAACTAGTAGAAGTAGTTGTAGGACTGTTGTGGTAATCAAGGAAGCAATGGTTCATTTTAATTGATGACCTTTAGTGCATAATTTCAGAGCAAGTTAATGATTGGGTTTGATAGTTAATCACTGTGATTAATAAGAGGAAACCTGAATGACGTACTGGTAGTCCTGGAGTACATAATACTGGATGAATGGACAATAATTAGAATGGCGAGATAATCTCATGATTAAAGGTAAATGTTTTCTGCTGTATCAGCTTGTATCTCCAAGTTTTGTTATATTGCCTTGTATTCACTTCTTTGCAATTATAGATTAACTTTTATATAAGCAAAGAGAAAACAATTATAGGCAACAATTATTCAGCTCTAATCAGGCTAAAATAAGACTAAAATGTATAGTGAGTTTTTGTTTTACTAAAAGTGTTGCATATGAAATAACTTAATTGTTACTAAAACCAATAAGCATTTTCATCCAAAGACTAAGATTAATACTAAAACTTGAAAGGGCTGGAAAAAAAAAACACACTGCTGAAAGCAAACCATTGAAGTAAACGTTTTTTGGGTGGTACCATGTTTCATGAATTATAGAAATAAATTATTGAAAAGTGTTAATGAAACTGCACACAACCATTAAAAACATTATCTTACATTCTGTTTCCACAAATATTGTTTTAAACCCATTTTATCAGACAGATGGTAAGTAGAATATAAAAAATGTTAAGATCTTTGTCAATGTGGGTACTACATATTTTTATAAGTCACATGGTGTACATGTATATGCAACATTTAGTTTTAAACAGCTCAATTTAAAATGACAGAGTTAGGTAAAAGATTAAAGGTATGAATTAGTTAAATGGCAAAAAAATAATCTCACCCTAATGAACTTATTCTTTATCAGCACTTTCCAAGAGTAGAGTCATAATAAATTAAATAGTCTTTATCAGTATAAGTCAGGGTCATGCAGACCAATATGCAATCAAAAGCTTATGTTTAAATCTCTGGAAATTATTTCAATATAAATCTGCCTAATTTGAAAACACCACAAACAGTAACTACTTTTAACACCAATAACAAGAAAGACCAGAGGTGGAATAACAAAATGTTCTATATTCTTACCTTCTCACTGTTTAATGTGAGATCAGGTCAATGCACCATTGTTCAAATTATGAGTGGATGTAATAACATTGAGCAGCATAATGTTGAAAAATAAAGTGTTCCTGAAGTGTGGTGCTCAACAAAATAATAATAAAAAATAATGGTTAGTTGTTGTTAACTCTATGATTTTGGAAAGTTAAACTGGTTATTTTAATAAACCAATAGAAACTGTTTTTATAACAGATACAGATTGAGCACTGGAAGAACATTTGTGGAGAAAAAAAATCAATGGTTGTCAATTTTTTCTGTAAAACAGTAGTTAAATTTGTTAGAAGAGTTATATACTCAACCTAACATTATCCATGTTGATTGGGCTAATTTGTTAAACTAAAACAAAAACATTAAATATAAAGCAGTTACAAGATTCTCTGAATCTAAGGATTAGTCTACAAGGTAAGAGGAAATCTACCTGTGTCAGATAATGAAAAGGAAGAAACTTTGTTTCGTGAGACTCTTGGCTGACACAGCTGATGAGTGACAAAATACCCTTAGGGTTTCATACACAAGCAACACAGGTGTTAAATTGAGAACCCAGTAAAGTAAACATTAGTCATAATTTTTAAGAAATTCAACATTTTTTTTTTGGATCACATAAATTTGTTTCTGCTCTCTTATAATCTTTTATGCCTCTTTTCTCTCCTAAGAAATCCCTAATGATAGTACAAGCAGGCAAACTAAAACCCTTGTTATATGTCCAGTAAGATATATACTCATCCAAAGCACTCAACAACAACAAAAGAAAAACTTATTACAAAAAACAAAACCATCCATTTACTATGACTGCATTACAGTGCCATCGTTATGTTAAAACAGATTCAATCCAGAGTGATAAAAATAGTTTTAGAATAATAAACATTATTTTATAAAGAGAGATGACCATTTGTTAAAGATGAGTGGGATACACTGCAAAGTGTAAACAAGCAAAAGTATACCTATTAAAAACAGAGTTTTATGAGCCCTCTCCCGGCATGACACAGCACATTTATGGCTAGAGACTGCTAGCTTTGTACATTCCATGTTTGTAGACACGTGTGCTCTTTACTAATAGTAGTTAATTGTCAAAAGAAACAAAACAAAAAAAACGCTTCAGTATTTTTCCAGTCTCCAGAAAAAAGGTTGTCTATAATAAAAATATGCAATTATACATGGTGGCCTTGTAACTTGTAATAGCTCAGTGGGACATCCTATGTCTGTTGAAATTCTTGAAGTTTTCTGATCCTGTTTTACTGAACCGCAGTGAATTTAAAATGATCTGTCATGATGCACCCTTTTGATGAACCCTTTTGACATTAACATTTCAGGAAATGGTATAAAAGGCTGACAGTGTTTTGCTTTTTTCACAACCGCATTTGCCACAAGGAGACAATTGATGGCTAGATTTTCATGTAGAGGAAATAACATTAATATCCTCTAATATTTGATGACTTGCTCCTTTGTGGATAAACTGCTCATAAGCCTGATAAAACAAAAGACGACATTAAAAAGTGAATTCCATACCTGGAAACAGATGCAGCCTGCCTCTGTAATTAAAACTCTTGGACCCACATGCATGCAAAAATATTTAAGTAGACCACAGTAAGAGAAGGTTGAGTCTACTCTTATTCTACTTCAATGTGATTGCCCAACATTCTACACTTTATTTCAGATGGTCAGGTTTAAATTAATTTCCAATGTGGAATGCTTATAACTTCAAGATAACTATCCTACTGGAGAGGTATATATGAGTGCACAGCTTACCCTGCGAACATAGTGGAATGCCACACTCCTGGTGTCTGAGGTGTGGCCTGGGGTCAGTGGTGAAGCACCATGGACCATCCGTGGAGTTGTCTGGGTTACGGCAATAATTTTCTCTGAGGTCCTTATTCCTGTACCTCTTAGACATAAATCTATTGAAACGAGAGCAGAAGCAATACCACATGTATGGTAAAAAGAACAGCAGGCAATTGCTGCTAACAGCCACAGTAAAGTTAAGACAAGAACAGAACGTTTATGTTGTCCTTTACTACTCCTCAAAGGAATGACATTCACTTTGTTGTTTACAAGGCAGCTGCTGGTTGGCAGTAAGTTGCCTGTTTCGAGATGACAAAATAAACATCTTTAAAAGTCAGCCAGTTTTAATGCTGGGGAACTGACTCACTGATTCCGTGCTATTAGTAATTAGAGAAAACACGTTATAAAGCAACAATATTTCTTCAATAAGGCCTGCTCCTGATGTAGTATAAACATGCTAAGAAGTGACTCAAGTCTTCAACATCAGGCGAACACATGGCTGTGGTCACCACTTACGTTGCTGGAGATGACAAGTGTATTTTTAGTGTCAAGCTGTATTTTTCCAAGATGATGAAACGATAATCCATGAGGTTCATCTTTGGTGGTTGAAAATGACAGAAGAAGAAAGAGAAAATCTTGTACTGATAAAAGTCATTTTATTTTTTTAAGCATGTGTGTGTGTGAGGCCATGTTTTTATTACCCTGTGCAGACAATTTCCCTGACATGTGCTACATTTTTGGGATTTATAGCTACTTGCTGGGACTAGCGACTGGACACAATGAGGATAAGTTATCTACTTTGGGTTGAGGTTCGGTTTAGGACTAAGGTGTGAGTTGAACTTAGGTTAGGTATGTGTTGATAAGGGTTAAAGTGAGGGTTAGGCTGTAGAAATAAAGGCAAAATTAATGGAAGCCAATGGAAAGTCCCCACAAAGATAGTGTTACAGATGTGTGTGTGTGTGCGTGCCAGTTCCCTATGTCTACAAGCTAACTGATAAAAACATACAAAATTCCTTGTTGTAATTACCTGAACTGTAGAGGTCTAGTAATATGACAAAGGAGGTTCACTGAAAGTCCAAACCTTCACTGCCAGCTTTAATTCATGTGATTTGAGCAGCTCACAAAAAAGCCTTTTCAACCCTTTCTTAATAATGATAAATCAGGATAAGGGACATCACGTTCATCCATTAGATTTGATATTTTGTAGGGAAATTATTTACTTACTTATAGTTTGCATTGGTTTTATTTGTATGCATCGGCGTCGCCAGACCCCATTTACTGGGGCACGTGCCTCAGTATAAATGAGCTGTGCCCCAGTATAAATCTCATGAATATTTGCAACAGTGATACATTTTTTTAATGCATCAATTTAGATAATTCCAACGGGAGGAGACGTACATTTCTACTCAAATGCGTAGCAAGTGTGTTGTTTACTCCAAGTTGAGGATGAATTAGCGCCCCCACGTCAGCGCATGTCACTGAATGAACTGCAGGTAAATTAACGCGCTGCTCTCAGCTGAGTTGGATGGGACACTGTGCGGCCGCGACGCATTTTTAGTTCTGGTAACGTTTCTTACCTGTCAATTTTATTATTTTCCCAGTGAAACCACATGATTTATAGGCTACTAACTGAAAATTACTGCATTGGTTTGTAGATGGATATCAGGAAATTCCTCACATGAAGCAGAGACAGGGAAGCAGTAAAACAAGATGAGAGAGAGGGAGGTAAGGTCCCGTAATGAATTAGTGATTTAAGCTAAGCAGTTACATTAGGGACGTTATAAGCAATATGATAGATATTTACATAATTATAAATTTAAGGTTTTTTAATGTTTGCTGTAGAGAATGAGAATGAAGGTGCTGGAGTAGGAAAGGGAGGAGGAGGCGAGACTGACAGGCAAGAGACAGGAGAGAGACAGGAGAGACAGGACCATGAAGGTGATGAGGGAGCAACAACCAGCGTCCACAAACAAGAAGGGGACATTAGTGACTTAGGGGGAAAGCATGATGGTCCTAAACAAGTGAAGTTGTCCCACTAACCCCTGGACAAAGTTGGAGTAAAATAAACTTTAATTTAATTCAAAATGGTTTGAAAGCTTTTTATGGTTGAAAAAGAAAGCCTTGTCATGAAGGATATGCAGTGTGTTTTCAACTTGCTTAATAACATCGTGTTCCCAACACTAACGCAGGTCATCCAGATCTTCCTCACCATCCCAGTCTACAGCTGGAGTTGTGAAAGGTCATTCAGTGTGTTGAGAAGGATCCACACTTGGCTGAGGTGCACAATGGAACAAGACAGGCTCCATCATCTTGCTATTTTATCAGTTGAAAAGGAAGAACTTTTTAAGCTGAGTCACAGTCTAGTGATTGACCGCTTTGCAAAAATAAAAAAAATAGGAGGAACACTTTAATGATCAAAAAATAAAATAAAAACTGAGCTCAGGATGAGTTAAACTTTCCCCCGAACTAAAACTCTGAAACCTAGGAATTAATGATTACTTCAGAATGTGTATAAGGAAACTTTTTATTTGTCAAAGTTGTTGATGTCTTATTTTTTATAGCTGCAATGTTGAAATTGTTTATGTTTGTTAAAACAAATATGCTCTTATACTCATTAATATCTCAACTGGTAATTTTGGTAGGAATTTATCAGGGTGGGGCAGTGTACTTGTCTGTATTTGTGTATGGCAGGAGGGGCATATGCGGTAGGGGGCCAGTGCCCCAGTAAAGCTTTGTGCCTAGCAACGCCCCTGTTTGTATGATATTTAACAATATCTCCTTTATTAAGCTTTATTTAATACATTAAAACAGAAACTTGAAAGTGCAGGAATTGAGATTAAAGAGAAGATTACTAGAGGAGATAAGCTTTATATTGTGTTCACATTGTTCTCTGCAAGCAAACATCAGTTGCAGTTCAGGTTGTCCTACATTAATGGTAATTACTCTTTAGCTTTGTTTTTTGTTTTTTTATTTAGAAAAAATGGAAGAAGATCATATGAGCTGCATTAAATACAAACCTTTCCACAGCTTTAATCTGTTGAAATATTTCCTGATTAGGTGATGTAGAGTATACACAGTGGTACACGGTAATGAATATGCATTTTCAATGAGATGTAACATCAGATCTTTCCATGAATTGAATGCTAAATTGTGCTCAAGCCTTAACACTCCAGGTGAAAATGGGGACCAGCGTGTAGGACGGCCTTACGTAAACGTATCACCAGAATTATTGACAATTAGTAGTTGTAGTTAAAGTACGATGCGACGAAGGTCCATGGTAGAAAAAAAAAACAAACAAAAAAACACGACTAAAGAACCAAAGAAAAATAAATGTGCAGGGCAGACAAAAAAGACTGGCTAAAGTTGAGGATGAGTCGACAAGTACGAGTTTGTTTACAAAACAGGCAGCTTCTTCTTCCACTACTAAAGCATTTCAGGAAAACTAAACAGTTCTGCGTGTTCTCAAAAGATTTAAACTGACTGACTGTTTCCGACCAACCGAGATTTAGATTGGATGTGAGAAATTTGGCATATGTAAACGTAGCTTTTGTAACTTTTAAGCATCAGTACTCTAATCTCACTTTCAGTTTCATTCACTTTCAGAATTCCACAAAAAATTGCATCCAGCAAACTCATTTTTCCAAAGATGTCCCCCATCTCTGACTTTGGTTACAAATTAAGTAAGATACAAACTTCTGTAAAAGATAAACGTGCTACATAAACACACATCTAGATAAACAAACTGGCCATCACAGGAAATGATGTGTGACTCAGTGAAGTGTTATAATGAGGTCACTTCTGATGAATGACTGCTCCCTGGAGCATAATCAGCCACTAATATATCAAACCAACACATGCTTTCAGAATAGCCTCTAGCTACCAGCTAATTGCAGCTCTTACAAGCCAACACTAACATTAACAGCAACTTATAACACCATGGTGCTTGACACCGAGGTAAAAAGTACATAAAATTTCTTACTTGTGCTCATGAGGTATTGGGGAGGCCCAGGCCTGGCACGGGGTCCCACTGACTGTCACTGACCTCCTACCCCTGTAGTTTTGACCTGTCCCCACAATGCATTCCCTTATGTAGTCTAAAGTGAGGAAAAAACAAGAGAAATTGGGAAATGTGATGAGTTAACAACTTGATCACAAATTTTATACACAAAGCCTTAGCAGATAATGATGAAAACAGAGAGAGGGAGTTGTAACGCTGGGCTGAACAAGAATTTGACATTGCCAGAAGTGGAATCTGTTTTCCCAATCAGGGCCATGCTGATTCATTAGCACTGACTACGGAGCCTAAATGTTCAGTCTTTTGGTCATCTTGCTCAACGGTGGACGAGTATTTACAGCATTTACACATACACCACATAACATAGAATAAAGCATTATTGATAGTGGCACTCTTAAAAGGAACAATGTGTTAATTCTTTCAATCTCTTTCTGCCAAAAATAAGCCATTTTTACCATTGGATTAAGTAGACTAAAAAAGTACAATGAAAAAAGAGGACTCAAGTTCAGGATGTAATTCATAAATTAAAAGAGCAAAATCCAGCCCTAACTGCCATAGCTTTCCTGTCCATATTGACTGACAGAATAAGCAAATGAGACACCCTGTGACAGAAATACATTATCTAGCAAAGAGGAAAAAAAAAACAGAGGAGTGTACCTTTCTTTTGATAGAGGTCATAGTAGAAATTCTGATGGGTTTGAACTCCTGGTGAATTTTTGTCAAATGAAAGCCACTGGCAATTCCTGTTCCTATGATCATACAGAAAAGCTCTGGGGAAGAGAAAGACAGAGAGAACTGAGGACAAAACACAATTAACACGAACTGTGAATTTTTGAAGCAAAGTTTAGTTAACATAGATTTTAATGTCTGAGGCAGTAAAAATGTCATGTAGTCATTTCAAAGTTTTATAAGTCACATAATCCTCCCCTTAGATGGTTGCTTGACAAATGGATATGTTCCCAGAGGGACATTTTGCATATTAACAAAATAAGACAGGAGAATCGCTGTTGACAAACCTGCATGTGAATGGGAGTCTTTTCCCTCGACTGCATGTTTTTGCACATTTGGTTATGCTCAGTTTCCTGCTTTTTGTCAGGTGTGAGTCGGGAGACACAACAACCAGTTGGGTGCCACTGGATTTCTGGTAGTCCTGCAGTGCATTTCGTCTGCCCTCTAATGTACAATCACAAAACAAGGCACGTAATTACACCATACATACAATAAATTAGCATTACAGACACCCGGGGATAATTTCCTTTTTAAATACACAGGAAGAGACAGGAGTTAACCTGCTGTTGATCTTTTAGGTGACAAATAAGTAATAAGACCAAGGCACTTTCCGGTTACCTTTTCACCAGGGAGAATGTTGTTACACTGTTTCATTTTGAATAAAATGTACCTTCAATTGTCATTAATCAACACACCTCAAAAAGGCAATGTAGATGACCTGATAAAACACTCAGACAGGAGTACTACTAAGAGTGAGTCAGACTGCTTTTAGTATGCCAATTTGCCTCAGGTCCTTTACATCTCTGTAATAATCAGACACCCACTTAGACTTGAAAAGAGAACTCATGTCAAACCCCCCAAACCACATTCCCCTTCCGAGTCTTTCCATTCGTTTCAACTGAATGTTTTCAAGCACATCAGATGACTTCAGACCTTTCACATTTTACTTTCGCTCAAAAACATTTGAAGGTTTTCCCAATCCTAAATTAGCATTTAATGTAATGAACGCTACTTTCAGATTCAGAGTTTGAAATAAATTCTGAAGGTGGAATTAAAGGCTTGGTGTGAGTCACATAGAGTTGGATGGGGTGACAGAGGGAATGTTTTTTACTCAACTGCCAAATGAAAACAAAATCAGTTTGCCGAAACCACCGAAATGGACAGTAGAAGGGTTCTTTAGTTTTTAATTGGCCATTAAGTGGGACAGTAGGTTATGTCAGGCCACTTTAATGGAGCTTTTTGTAACAGCTTAGGAGGAACTTTACAGATGGAGAACACACAAAAGTTGCATGGAGTAAGGTGTACAAATGAAAACACTTTTTTAAAATACATCTTTTACTAGAAAAAATATATTATTTAGACCTATATCAGAAAAAAAATCCTTATAAAAGTAAACTAATAAAACTGCGTGGGGCACCAGCCACTGCAGCAATATATGAGCGCAACCAGTCAGAAACATTATCTACACACTTACTAAATAGTATTTCGGATAGGAAGGGGAGGAGAGACAAGAAAAGAAGAACTTACCGCAGCATAAAACGGCTGCGAGTCCAACAACGAGCCTGTAAATCCACATCACCTTCGTCACACAACAGCGAGCAGAGAAAACAAATGGAAAGGCTTCCTGCTGTGCGCTCTGACAGATACCAGGAGATGTTGCTTCCACCACTGCACGAATGATGCGTCTCTCCTCTAAGTACTTCTTCACCCCCCTCCCCTTTCCTCCCCTCTCCTCACCCCTCCTCCTCCTCACTGCGTGCGTTATGTGTCTGTCTGTCACTGTTACGCATCTTTCTGGGCTACGTGTTATTTATTTATTTGAATCTACCCCTTTGTTTATCTTTTTCTTGACTTTATCGCTCAGTTTCCTGAAAACACATGTAGGATCGTGTCACCCGATCCCGAAAAAGCGAGTTTCCCAAACCTTGTGTGGATCTGGATGTGTTGTTTGTGGTGTCAGGGCGCAGTAGTTTAATCACTACCATCCTTTTAGCGCTTAAGGGAATTTGCCATGTTTTTGTTTGTTTGTTTTTAAGGGTTTTCTTTTTCTGTTTTTCTTTTCTTTTTTAACGATCAAAAACATAGTAATTCTGAGTTAATTCCTCTTTTTCCCTATTTTTCATAGGGGAAGACCTAAGAATTAGAAATAAATACATGTAAAATATGTACTGTAGATAACTAATTCTGGTGTTTAGGGATAATAATCATAAACAATAAACGAGTAATAGTTTAACTAATCACCTTCTCTAGTAGGCTAATTGAAATGCCACAGAAAATGTACAATGACGCTGTAAATTCAAGAAATAACCAGATTATTCCAGTGATTCTTTAAAGCCTGACATACTTTAACAGTAGCCAAATGGTTTATTGCACTTTTAAGTAAAAAAGTATTTTTTCATAATTCATATAGACAGTTATTGCATCAGTGTCTGGTTTTTACTGCATGCTGTAAGTCCTTTGTGACAATAAGTTAGCAGATGAAACCACCTAATATTCTATAAAATAGTATAATGACTTTATCATTATTCCTTACCAAACCTTTCCATAATATGAAGTACAAGTTTATAAGGTAAGAAAATCATGCAGTTTAATGTTAATGACTTATGTTCACACTATAAACTAAGTTTGTTCATTTAAGGCAACATTAACTTTTTACCTGCGTAGTGGTTGATGCAAGCTCTTTCTAGTTAGGTTCAACATTTATATTGAAAGTACATAAAGTCTATGTAGATAGCCGTCATACTAAGTATAACATTTACAACCATATAAAACTGTTTGTGGATTATTACTGTTTGTGGATAATTGAGCATTTATCTTCCTTTTTAGAATATTTATTCCCAGATTTCAATTCAATTCAGTTTATTTATATAGCACCAAATTCACAACACATGTCATCTCAAGGCACTTTACAGTTCAACCAGATCATACAGTCAAATTGATACAAAGTTTTCTGTCTAAGGAAAACCAGTTGATTGCATTGACTAATTGACTCAAATACAATCCCTCACACTGAGCATGCTTGTAGCGACAGTGGAGAGGAAAAACTCCCTTTTAACAGGAAGAAACCTCCAGCAGAACCAGGCTCAGTGTGAGTGGCCATCTGCCGAGGCCGACTGGGGTTCAAGGAGACAGAAGCAGAGATACAAAAAGCAGCTGTAAAAGGCGGCCCCGTCCAGGAAACACACAGCCAGGCAGACGAGCTCCAAGGCAGCTCCCATGCCAGAGGACGAAGAGAGCATATCCACTCAGTCACGGTCAGAGAAACAGGACCACACTGGAAAACAGGCCGATCTCCAACATCTATAAACAAGGGTGTTGATGGAAGCAGCACAGCTGATGTTTCTCTCCAGGATGACGTCACAGCCAAACAGGAACAGACGAGGCAAAGCTACTCTGAGGAAAAGCAGAGAGAGCAGAAGGTTAGAGATTGAACTAACAGATTCTGCAGAATAGGAGAACAGAGAGAGAATGAAGCAGAATGATGAAATGGGGGTCCCTATGTCCTCCAAAAGTCTAAGCCTATAGCAGCATAACTATAGAAATAGCTCAGCATAACCTGAGCCACTCTAACTATAAGCGTTATCAAAAAGGAAAGTTTTAAGCCTAGCCTTAAAAGTAGACAGGGTGTCTGCCTCACGGACTAAAACTGGTAGTTGGTTCCACAGGAGAGGAACCTGATGACTAAAAGATCTGCCTCCCATTCTACTTTTAGAAATTCTAGGAACCACTAGTAAACCTGCAGATTGAGAGCGAAGTGCTCTGTTAGGAAGATAAGGAACAATCAGATCTCTGATATAAGATGGAGCTTGGCCATTTAAGGCTTTATATGTGAGAAGGAGGATTTTAAATTCTATTCTTGATTTAAAAGGAAGCCAATGAAGAGAAGCCAGGATAGGCGAGATATGATCTCTCTTTTTAATTTTCATCAGAACTCTGGCTGCAGCATTTTGGATCAGCGGAAGGCTTTTAACTACAGTTTGTGGACTTCCTGATAGTAAAGAATTACAATAGTCCAGCCTTGAAGTAACAAATGCATGGACTAGTTTCTCAGCATCACCCCTGGACAGGAGATTTCTAATTTTTGCAATGTTCCTCAGATGAAAGAAGGATATTCTAGAAACCTCTTTGATATGGGATTTAAATGACAGGTCCTGATCAAAAATAACACCAAGATTTTTTACTTTATTATCTGAAATCAGTTTAATCCCATCCAAATGAAGTGACTGGCTAATCAGCTTCTTTTTCAGAGACTCTGGTCCAAAGACTATAACTTCTGTTTTGTCTGCATTCAGAAGCAGAAAGTTAAGAGTCATCCAGGTTTTTATGTCTTCAAGACATGCCTGTAATCTATGTAATGGGTTAGCTTCATCTGGATTTATAGACAGATATAGCTGGGTATCATCAGCATAACAGTGGAAATTAATCCCATGCTGTCTAATAACTCTACCAATTGGGAGCATGTATAAAGTAAAGAGAATCGGTCCTAGCACTGATCCCTGTGGTACTCCACAGGTAATTTGTTGGGGATCATTTAGCAAGGTTATTTCCAAGCAATTCTATGTGTGCCTACACAGAGAATTGTGAATGCTTCAGTTTTCTGCAGCCCAAATGAAACTTTGGTTAGCTGTATTCAGATTCAAAAAAGAAGTCTGTTTAAAACCCTTTTTTAAGAATAAGACGGCATTTTTATAATCTTCCACCTAAACACCACACAGTCACATAATAGTCTTCTTTAACCTATGTTGTTCTCTCCATTTATTCATGCTGATTTATCAACACAGTGTTGTAAATATAACACATTGGTAGGCACTTGTCAGTGGCAGGAAACTCAATAGGCTGGATGGTTGTTTGTACTGCTCTACTTGTTCTTTTAGATAAGATGAACTCTGTGGTTTGAGAGGGGGATGGATGGATGAGAGCCATCTCTATTTCCAGTGATGACAGCATGAGATAGCATGAAACTTTATGGCAGTGCTTTTAAGAAGCTCTGATTTAGCACTCACTCAGTATCACTGCTATCCTTTAGCCCAGAGCAGAGTATTGATTATGTATCAAATTAGTCAAAAGATTTACAGTAATCTGGACATTTATAGCTGTTTTGTAATAATCATGTGTGCAAAACAAAATAAATAAAAAGCAGAATAAATATAAGAGGAAACAGATTATATCTCTATATTCCATCTGGCTCAGTGAGTAAAGGTCCTGTGGAGTCCTGCGGGGACTGCAAAGTTCCCTGCAATAATAAAGACTCAGCAATGAGTCAGACTTTCACTGAAGCAAAACAAATGTTCCTTTTTTCTTACTTTCTGTTTGCTTTAATCCATACACATAAACATATATAAAAACCTCTTACAAACAAAACACCAACCAGTTCATCTTTTTCAGTATGTATGAAAACACATTGAAAAACTTGTAACAAGCACCAGATGACTGAATAACCTTCACCAGTCTGAGCCTACAACTAAAACATCCTCACTGCCACAATCTCATTACTGACTCTCCTCACAAAAATCCAGTGGGTGTTTTCACTGCGTCTGCAAGGCTTCTGCTAGGAGATGGAAATTAGAGAAACTCAGAACCCCCCTGCTTCAAGTGCCGGGCCGTCACCATTGGAGACTCCTCACATCTGTGGCTGGTTATTGCCAGAGAACTTCATATCTGGTAATAGGGGAGAGAGAGTTCAATGGTAGACTGAAATGATATGAAGGGTGAAGAAGCTGCTACACAGGGAATGCAGATGAAGGAAACTCTCTAACAATGGATTTTCTGTCTAAAAGGGAAGTACAAAAAAAAGAAAAAACAGTGCAGCAGCAATGATGGGTCTTTTTGCATACATGCATGTGGAGTGAGCTGAGTATTAATGGATTTCCTGCAGATTTGTTTGAAACCTTTGTTTATATTGGTGCTGGGCAGTTTTAGTTTTCATCACAAGTTGGTGTATGCAAATACATTTGTATATTCTCGTTTGTTGCAAAATAGTTAAACCTGCAAGTTACCCTACATGACCCTACATTCTACACATTTCTAATACATAATAGGCTTATGTAAAAGCAATTATTTGATTTAAATACTGTTTTAAATACTTATGACCATAAAATATTTAAACCTTGTAACAGTTGAGTGAGGGAACTCAGAATGAATAAACTTGGACACACCACCATTAGTGGTTCAGGTATGTAAGCGCAATTAGATGGTTAGAGAGAAGCAGCTCTGAAGTGTGTGGAGATGCTATAAACACAGATACTGTGTCATGGGATTCTCCTTTAAACAAACACACTTCCTGTTGTCAACACACTTGATTGTGGGCACTGCTCATAATGGAGGCTTGCTGACATTTACAGACAAGATAAATAAACCATTTGGACACACAATATGCTCAGAAAAAACACAGTTTAAATCATGCATGTCAAGTTAAATTTGTAATCTACTTTTGTTTAATCCACTACATTCCTGTAGAGTGCTTTTGATTAATTCAGGTAAAAAAAAATACTGTAGGGTAGAGAGATAAACTACTACTATAAAAATAGTACATGTAAAGCTGGGTGGGTTTTGTTTTCTGGCATTAACACGCGTCCCGTTGCTTAAAATAGTTCAAAACAGCTCAGTTGTGTAAGTTTATGAATGAATTGAAGATATAGTAACTGATCGTGGACTGTCAATTTCCTTCTCATTTCTAAAGTAATGCAATAGTCTCAAAAAC